TGGGAAGAGAAGGGATGCACCTGATAAAAAGAGGGAAGAGCATCTTCGCAGACAGGCTCGCTAAACTAGTGAAGAGGGCTTTAGATTAGGTTTGCTAGGGCATGGAGACAAAGGTCCTGAAATAAGTGGGGAAATAGGTGACCTGGAGTAAGAGCAAACAGGAGAAGGCAACAGGGGAGGTGTTCTCATTTTTCCTGAGAAATCAGGGCAATCGACCAGTTACCTCAGGTGCCTGAACACAAATGCATGGACTTGGGAAACAAGGAGGAAGAACTGGAAGTCCTCCCACTGTCATGAAACTATGACTTGATTGGAATAACAGAGATGTGGTAGGAGCTTGCATGACTGAAGCACTATTATGGATGGGTATAAATTGTTAAGGAAGAGCCATATAAAAGAGCCATATGATTGCTCAGAACTCCAGTATGAAACTGGAGATAGGCCTGTTGAAAGTCTCTGGGTTAGGGTCCGAGGAGAGAGCAACAAGCGTGATGCTATGGACCACGAGACAAGGAGGTAATGGTGGATGAGGTTTTCTTCAAACAGCTAGTGGAAGTTTCCCGATCACAGGCCCTGGTTCTCATGGGGGACTTGAGTCACCCTGACATCTGCTGGGAGGGTCAGGCAGGGCACTGTTTGCGCCTGCCACTTTAAGGGCCTGGAGCTGGCAGCTGCCAGGTGCCTGATGAAGGCAGCCATTTTGAATCTGGGGCTGCCCATATAAACAGGGCAGTTCTGCTGCTGGAGGCCATGCAACAACATCACCTGTCTGGAGGGCTGCTGGTATCATCTGGAGGTAAGGGAGGAGTTGTAGGGGATGGTCAGGAGGCTCCTGGGCATGACCTAAAACTGCACCCTGCCAGGAGTGGGTGGCTTGGTAGGGCCCCCAGGAAATGCCAGGCCAGTTACCACCCCGGTGAAAGGCGGGTTGGGGCGCCTTAACCCCTAACCCCCACAACCGGGTGGGTTACCCCTTGTTTGGAGGGTCTGGAAGGTGGACCCCATGGAGGAAGTGAGGCCATAGACTCACGCCTGCTTGAACTTCCCCTGACTGGTCCATGCTGGGGCCAGGACTGGAAGGGTTGAAGGGCTGGGGGGCCCACTGCAAGGAATGCCCAAGAGCTGCAGGCCTGGGGTTCCAATTGGCCTGGAGGTTGGCCAGGGCTAGTGAGCTGAAGGTCCCGGGGGAGACCACACCTGAAGGGAAAGCAGTTCAGGGAGCTATGCTGCCTGGTATGAAGGTGGATGAGACCGCCTGAGGAGAGGAATCCAGGCAGGGTTCAATTAGGGGGATTCTGGGGCCTAGTGTGGGGGCCGGTGATGATAATAACATCTAGATGCCATCAGCGAGGATTGGGCTGCAGTGTAGGGGAGGAATGGAGCCGCAGATAGTGCCCCCTGGCATCGGGGCAGGAAATGGGCAGCCTCCCACTTAATTACATCTTTAACTAATTAATTAACAACAAGGCATGGCATGAGAGAATGTGGGTGGCTAGCCCAGGAACAGGTGGGCAGGCCACATCAAGATTGGTCCCGAGCAGCCCCTCTGTTACAGAGGGCAATACAGTACTGCGCAGGCAATCCAGGAAGGTTTTGGACAGTTTTGGGGACAACTTCCTGGTGCAAGTGTTGGAGTGGTCAGCTAGGGGCCATGCTCTTCTTGACCTGCTGCTCACAAACAGGGAAGAATTGGTGGAGAATGTACTAATAGACTGTAAGCTGGGCAGCAGTGACCATGAGATGATTGAGTTCAGGATTCTGTAGAAAGGAAGGATGGAGAACAGCAGAGTAAGGATCCTGGACTTCAGAAAAGCAGACTTCGACTTGCTCAGGGAACTCATGGGCAGGATCCCCTGGGAAGCCAGTCTGAGGGGGAGAGGAGTCCAGGAGAGCTGGCTGTACTTTAAAGAAGCCTTACTGTGAGTGTAGGAACAAATCATCCCAATGTGCAGGAAGACTAGTAAGTATGGCAGAAAACCACGTTGGCTTATCAGGGAACTCTTCAGTGAGCTATAACACAAAAAAGGGAGTGGAAACTTGGAGAAACAACTAGAGAACAGTATAAGAGTATCGCTTGGGAATGCAGGGGTGAAGTCAGGAAGGCCATTGGAGCTGCAGCTAGCAAGGGATGTGAAGGGTAACAAGAAAGTATGTCAAGAACAAGAGGAAGATCAGGGAAAGTGTGGGTCCCTTAGTGAATGGGGGTGGCAACCTAGTGACAGAGGATGCAGAAAAGACTGAATTACTCAATGCCTTTTTCACATCAGTCTTCACAAGAAAGGTCAGCTCCCAGACTACTGCACCTGGCAGCACAGTTTGGGAAGGATGTGAGCAGCCAACAGTGGTGAAAGAACAGGTTAGGGACTATTTAGAAAAGCTGGACATATACAAGTCCATGTGGCCAGATGGGATGGACCTGAGTTTGATGTGAGAGTTGGATGATGTGATTGCAGAGTTGCTGCCCATCATGTTTGAAAACTCATGGCAATCAGGAGAGGTCCTGGATGCTTGGAAAAGGGCAAATATTTAAGAAAGGGAAAAAGGAGGATCCAAGGAATTACAGGCCTGTCAGCTTCACCTTAGTCCCTGTAAAAATCATGGAGTAGGTCCTCAAGGAATCCATTTTTAAGGATTTGGTGCAGAAGAAGGTGATTAGCAGCAGTCAGCAGCAAGGACAAGTCATGCCTGAACAACCTGATTGTCTTTTATGATGAGATGACTATCTCTGTGGATGCAGGGAGACCAGTGGAGGTTGTATACCTTGATTTTAGCAAGGCTTTTGATATGGTCTCTCACAACATTCTCCCAGGCAAGCTAAGGAGGTACAGGTTGGATGAATGGACTGTAAAGTGGTTAGAAAAGTGGCTGGAGCATTTGGCACAGAGGGTAGTAATCAGTGGCTCAAGGTCTAGTTGGCAGCCGGTATCAAGTGGAGTGCCCCAGAGGTTGGTCCTGGGCCTGATTTTGCTCAATATCTTCATCAAAGACCTGAAAGATGGAATGGAGTACACCCTCAGCAAATTTTCAGATTATACCAGGTTGGGGGGAGTAGTAGATATGCTGGAGGGTAAGGCTAGGATTCAGAGAGACCTAGACAAACTGGAAGTCCCATGAGGTTCAGTAAGAACAAGTGCAAAGTCCTGCACTTTGCATGGAAGAATCCCATGCACTGGTACAGGCTAGGGCTCACTGGCTGGACAGCAGCCCTGCAGAAAAGGACTTGTGGGTTACAGTGGAAAATAAGCTGAATATGAGCCAACAGTGTGCTCTTGATGCCCAGAAGGCTAATGGCATACAGGGCTGCATTGGTAGGAGTGTTGCCAGAAAATCAAGGGAAGTAATTATTCTCTTCCATTTGGCACTGGTAAGGCCACATCTGGAGTACTGTGTTCAGTTTTGGGCCCCCCACTACAGAAAGGATGTGGACAAATCAGAGAGAGTCCTGTGGAGGGCAACAAAAGTGGTGAGGGGGTGGGGGGATTGGCTTATGAGGAGAAGCTGAGGAAACTGCTTATTTAATCTAGAGAAGAGAAGGCTGAGAGGGGACTTAATAGCAGCCTTCAATACCTGAAGGGGGGTTTGAAAGAGGATGGAGCTAGACTGTTTTCAGTGGTGGCAGATGACAGAACAAGGAGCAATGGTCTCACATTGAAGGAAAGGAAGTTTAGGTTAGATATTAGGAGGAATTTTCTTATTAGGAGGGTAGTAAAACACTGGAACAGGCTACTCAGAGACCTGTTTCAGGTTGTTGATGGGTAGGTCTGTTTTATGCTGACCTTGTGAAGGAACACCTTGAGAGGCTGGATACCTTCAAGTCAGCTGGCCCGGACAGCTTACACCCCAGGGTACTCAAGGATCTGGCGAGCATCATAGCTCAGCCCCTGGCACGGATCTTCGAGAACTCTTGGTGCTCTGGTTAAGTGCCCAAAGATTGGAAGAAGGCCACTGTGGTGCCTATCTTCAAGAAGGGGAGGAAAGTGAATCCAGCAAACTACAGTTCCATCAGCCTGACTTCTATCCTGGGGAAGGTCCTAGAAAAGATTATCAAAGAGACCATTCTCAACAGACTGGCCGATGGCAAAATCCTGAGGGATAGCCAGCATGGGTTTGTTGCAGGTAGGTCTTGCTTGACCAATCTTATTTCCTTTTACAACCAGGTGACCTATCACCTGGACAAGGGGGAAGAGATTGATGTCATATATCTTGACTTTAAAAAAGCCTTCGATCTGGTATCCCATGATCACCTCTTGGCAAAACTGGCCAACTGTGGCCTCAGCTTCTCCATGATCCGCTAGCTGGGGAATTGGCTATGTGGTCCGACCCAGAGAGTGGTGGTTGATGGAAGTCAATCATCGTGGTGCTCTGTAACTAGTGGGGTCCCTCAAGGCTCTGTCCTTGGACCTATATTGTTCAACATCTTCATTAATGATGTGGATATTGGCATCAGAAGTGGACTGGCCAAGTTCACCAATGACACCAAACTTTGGGGTAAAGTGTCCACACCTGACGACAGAAGGGAAATCCAGGTCCAGAATGGCAATCTTGACAGGCTCAAGAAATGGGAAGACGAGAACCTGATGGCATTTAACACCAAAAAATGCAAGGTTCTCCACCTTGGGAGGAAAAACCTGCAGCATGCTTATAGGCTTGGTAGTGCTACACTGGCTAGCACTTGGGACGAGAGGGACTTGGGGGTCATGATTGACCACAAGATGAACATGAGCCTTCAATGTGATGCTGCGGTTATTAAATCAAGTAAAACTCTGGCCTGCATCCATAGACGCTTCTTAAGCAAATCCCAAGACGTCATTCTCCCATTGTACTCAGCCCTGGTGAGGCTGCAGCTGGAGTACTGCGTCCAGTTTTGGGCTCCACAATTCAAAAAGGATGAGGGAGAAGCTTGAGAGAGTCCAGAGGAGAGCCACGTGCATGATCAGAGGTCAGGAAAAAAGACCTTATGATGAGAGGCTGAGAGCCATGGGACTCTTCAGCCTGGAAAAGCACAGGCTCAGGGGTGATCTGGTGGCCACCTATAAGTTTATCAGGGGTGCTCATCAGGATCAGGGGGAACATCTGTTCACCAGAGCACCCCAAGGGATGACAAGATCGAACGGTCAAAAACTCCTCTGAGACTGTTTCAGGCTGGACATTCTTTACTGTCTGAGCCCCCAAAGTTTGGAATAAACTGCTGCTGGAGGTAGTTCAAGCACTACCTTGAACACCTTCAATAGACATTTGGATGTCTATCTTGCTGGGATCCTTTGACCCCTGCTGACTTCCTGCCCTTTGGGCAGGGGGCTGGACTTGATGATCTTCTGAAGTCCCTTCCAGCCCTAATGTCTATGAAATCTATGGTGGAATCTCCATCCTTGGAGGGTTTTAAGACCCAGCTAGACAAAGCTTTCACTGGGATGATCTAGTTGAGAACAGTTCTGTCTTGAGCAGGGAGTTGAACTAGATGACCTACTGAAGTCCCTTCCAACCCTAATTTTCTATGATTCTATGTACTGTTAAAAATGACACAAAATACATTTCTGTTTAAGCAAAGGATTACTCTCTATACCAGTGCTTCTCAACCTTTTTAGCCTCAAGCCACCCTCTATAACTTCTGTGAATTCATGGGACCCCATCTGAAAATCACTGAGATATAAATTCAAAAACGATCTGGAGAGAGGGGGCTTTAACTTAGAAACCTCAGCATCACTCATCTAGCTAGTGCTGCTTAAGGCAGGACCTCACCTACTGTGCCCTGCTCTTTCTATTGTCTTCCCCATCCCAACAACTAGCCTGTAGCTCAGGGGGCAAGCGCAGTCCTCACTACTGAGGCTGCTTCTTCAGGCCTCACATGCTGGCAACCACCCCTGCAGCCCCTGCTGCCAGTCCTGGGGGTGTGGCAACAGTGGAGGGGACAAATCAGGCTGCAGAATGTGGCTCCACCTGCATGTCCACCTGCCTTCTCGCTGACAGCAGAGCACCCTGATAGGAGCGTGGGGGTAGAGGGGTGGGGACAGCATTGGGGTTGCCTAAGTGCAGGGAAGGGCAGGGGGAGGCAGAAACACTGGTAGGAGTCTCCAGAGCAGCAGGCACCAGTGCCATTGGAATAGCTGGAGCAGGTGCAGGGTGCTGGATGGAGTAAGTGACTATTTACCTTCTCATAATGTCACATGGCACACTTGCATCACTCTTTCAGGAACCCTTTTGGAAATCACTGTCACATTATGTCAGCTGGATATTCATAGAATCATAGAAAAGTAGGGCTGAAGGGACCTCACAAGGTCATCTAGTCTAGCCCCCTGCTCAAGGGAGGATCATTGCAGACAAGCATTTATTTAAGCTAGGGGGGTGGCTCCAGAGGGGGTGTCTGGTGCACTTGCACTCCTCTTAGATTCCTAGTCCACCCAAAGTTTAAAGCCAACAGTCTGCAATGGAGCAGCATTTGAAGTCAGCCAGTGCTGAGGGAGTCACTCGACTTCGTGGCTCATTGTGAGCTATCTGATCCCTTCTAAACTCTTCATTCAACAGGTGTTAAGGACTCTTTCTTCTTTTTAATGGTGTTGATGTTTCACCAATCACACTATCCTTTGTTCTGCAGTTCTACCCTCTGCTAGCTCCTATTTCACAGCCCTGCAGATTACTTTTAGCACATTCTAATGAAGTTATATTTATTTTTTGCTTCAAAAACAGCTCTAGGCCCCTAGCATTTTGGTAACATTTCTAGTTTATTTTTAACTTGAGAATAATATGTTTTTTTTAGGTATATGAAGATCCATTGCACTATCTTCAACCACTTTTCAAAATTCTAGATCTGCCTGTGATCTAAACTACTTCTAAAACTACACAAACAAGTATGATAAGACACAATGCCCCAAAACACCAGTAACACTGTAACCTGCCACAGACAAAGCTGGGGGTTGAGGTCAAAGTCAACGTCTTTTCACTGCAAGGACACAAAACAGTTTTTCCCATCGTGCTAGTGCTGTTTGTTAAAGCATATTCAAAAGATCCCATTGTGATCTTGCGCTTGCATTGGTTAGGACTAGTAGTCACTCCTAGTTGTACCTGTCTTCTCTCCCTGGTGTATTAGTGGTTCTGAAAACTTGTTGGGATTACTATTAGTGTTTCCATCACTTGACATTTCACATTGCAGGTCATCTTTTCACTTATCAAGTGTGGTTACACTAATAGGAATAGTCCTCAGGAACTCCCTTCCCTCTGATCTGCCAATATGCTGACTGAATGTCTATGCCACTAAACACATTTACTGCAGACAACTTGTAAGGGATGTTACCTGGTGGTGGAGAAGGTCTGTACTGCTTCTGTATTTAGTGCTTTGTTTAGGCCCCATGAGTCTGTGCATACCTCAGTCACGCCTTTAGGGTTTTTCTTTTCTATAGCACCCATTGAAATGCTCTGATGCTTTCTCTACGTTTTCCTGTTATAACAAACTGTGTTGTATTCTGGAGCTCTTTATCATTCAGGCCCTTATTATTAAAGGTAGTCATCATAGCGTGTGTGCTACTGGCACTGCTCTTGTAGATAACTTGGTTTTGAAATATTCTGGTAGAAATCCTGTGCCTTCAAACACATTAGGAAATTGTTTCTTAGTCTCCTCTGCTTGGAGAAAGACCCTTTTATGAATTCTGTTGACATTAGGCGTTTTACCAGGTTATATGATTTTAAGGCTTTTGGTCCTGGCATTAGCTTTGGTGGGATGTCTGTTACATAGAATCCTAGATTTTGACAGTTTTCTTTATTCCTGCATTTAACAGTCCTCTCCTTAATGTGAATGTGGACTAGATGGCTTCAGTGGCATTATCTGATACAGACAATGTTAGTGTTGTGGCATGGGTTACACTGTTGCTGTCTGTCTCATTGATGCAGTTTATTTGTGCCCTTTAGCAAGTTCTCCTTTTCCTGGGTTTTTCTATCATACTTTCTAAGATGGTATAAGTGGGTTGTCATGCCTGCGGCCTTCTTAGGCAGGCTTCTGCTCCCTGAGCAGTTCCTTAGCTGGTCCTAGCATGAAGCTGAGTCTTTCCTGGTCTGGTTTTTGTTCCCTGAGCAGTCCCTTGGTCATCCCCAGCAATAAGCAGTCTTTAAACAAATGAAACAAATAAATGAAACCCTGTTGACCTGTCCTGGACACTAGGGGTGCTTGTACACATGACGGTCATCACATCTGGATGTAGTTTAGTTTGCGAACTTGCACTTTGCAACGATGCAGCTATCAGCTCACCCCCTGGCCATGGGAGAGGTGGGCAGGCTCTGCAAAAAAAAAAAGGATTGGGTCCCTCACTCCTTCTGCCTTCAGTAGATGCCTGCTGAAGGCAGAAGTGGCAAAGGGCCTGATGCTTTTTTTTTTTTCCAGTGGAGTATGCCCACTCTTGCAGCTGGAGGGTGAGCTGCCAATGGGCTGAGTGGCCCCTGAGCTGTGGGGGAACCTGGTCCTTCCCTTCACTGTGGCAATGCCTCCTGGGGCTGTCCAGGTGGGCTGCTAGCAGGCCAGATGCTGCCCCAGCTCAGAGGCGGCACCTGGCCTGATCCAACTGTTCCCCAAGCCCCCCTGCTGGAAGTCTGCTGAGCGCTGCTCCCTGGGTGGGATCAGGGAACAGTTGGGTCAGGCTGGGTGCTGCCTCCAAGCTGGGGTAGCACCCAGCTTGCTAGCAACCCACCCAGATGACCCCAGGGGGTGCCATCACCATGGAAGGAAGGACTGGGGATCCCGCAGCTCAGGGGCTGCTTGGCCCACTGGCAGCTTACCTCCCAGCTGTGGGCAGGCTCTGACAAAAAAAAAAAAAAGAAAAAGGATCAGGTCCCTCGTCATAACATAACAGAAAAATTGAAATGGTGAATTTCAATTAAAAGCTCTCTGCTTCAATTTAGGGGCACAGACTAAAACCCTGAGGGCTAAACCCCATCACATGTACAAGTGTCTCAGGATGGGACCTCTGTGGCTCTGGCCTTCCCGTACCAGTCTTGTCCTCTACATAGTTCAGCAGTTCAGCTCACCATTGCTTCTCCCATTTTTGCACTTTCTTTGGCTCTGCCTTCTGGGGTTTTTTATTCTGTCATTAGTAGCCTTTTCACAGGTGTGGCTACTGTCAGGCTGGTTGACTCCTTCTCAGGGAACAAGCCAGTGTTGCTCCTTGAAGGGTTCACCAATTACATGTACTATATGCTCTGTATGTTTCTCACGTACAATAGCATGTTGTGAGTATCTTCCTTAGTGCTGGGGATTCTTCTTGCTTTACATGGTATAATCCATATTTATTTCAAATCCACTGTGTGTGCCTCTTTACTATGTACTTCTTTTTTAAAGTTGCATGGAGCTGGTGCTCTTCTTTTGCAACCTTACTTATTTGGTGCAGATGTTTGACTGGTAATCATACCTCCCTGTTCCACTATGTCCAGTCCAGCTTGTGATTGGTACTAGTGGATGCTTTCATCTGATGCTTGGATGTCTCATGTGGCTACTCTAATAGCTTTTTCTAATGTTAAATTGTCCTCCTTTAGTAATTTTTCTTGTATTTTTTTAGTCTGATTCCATTAAGAGCCTTTCTTTCAGTAGTCTTTTATTATTGACTGCAGCTGGTTGATGCACTCGGGTATCTCAGTATGGCTCTGATTTCTCTCTGAAAAAAAATCCTTTGTATGGAGGTTTTTATCTTTGGGAAACAATAGTTCTCACATAGCTCAAATAACCTGGCAGGATTTTCCCTGTCTTTAATCAGCTTGCCATGGAAGACTCTTGCTTTGTGGATATCCTTGCTGTTTTCCAGGGGTAAATCTAGAGGTGGCTTAGTTGTGCTGCCTGTGAGCTCTTGGTGCAGGGTCTGACCAGAACCCCTGGTTTTGCTGAGCTCTGGAGTCCGGGGGGTGAACGCTGCCATTGCCACTTGTCCCCTCCTTTCCTCTGCTGTTGAATTCAGTGGGGGGAGGAGAAGAGAGGGGAAGGATGTACAGCAGCAGTGTTCATCCCCTGGGCTCCAGAGCCACATGAAAGCTGGGTCTGCAGCCAGACTCTGCCCTGATCAGCTGGTGAGCTCAGAGCTTATTGCTCATGAAGACCTCCAGTAGGAGTTTGCACTGACCGAGCAGTGAGCTCAAGAGCTCACTGTGCATGCCCGGCACAGCTGGGTGGGGAGAGGACATGAATGCCCTCTCTCTCTATATTTGGATCTGCTACTGTTGATTTCCCAGTGCATATGGGAAAAGGAGCATAATTCTGTCATCCAGATTAATTATCTGCCTCTCGCCCAGCAAAGATGAGTTTCATTAATTTCTTGAAAATGTTTCTGAAGAGCTTCTAGGATTTTCTAGGGATCTCTCATTTTCTTTTTATAAGCTCAAAAAACCTTACTATTTGCACTCAGAGCTCATGGTGGCTTTATGACTGCCCCATCCCCCCAGTGCTGAAACCAATAATCTAACCCTATATCTACTCTAGCAAAGGTACCTGGACTCTTCCTATCAGGGAGCTGACATGCTACTAGTAAGGCATATATTTCAGAGAAGTATTTAGGAGAGAGAGTGGGGGGGGGTGGGTTATTTTTTTAGTAATGAGGAATTTATGCAGGTCTGCGGAACTTTTCCTAGGGATGTATGGAAAGCTGACAGATTATCTGGTGCTGCCTTCTACTGTTGTTTCCAGATTTTAAATGTACTTTTGAAAAGTCCAAAATCCCATTCCTAAACTATTTTTCTATGTAAATAACTATAGCACAGCTGTAGGGAGGTTGTGTGATCAAGAATGGGAAGGGAATTTTCCACAAGCCAGTCTCTCTGTAAAATATAATTTGCACTGGGGAAAACTTTGAAAACTACTGTTTAATTCATGCAAACATAGCTGCACTCATCATTTTTAACTCTACTATTTCAGTTATGGGAGTGACGGATGAGGAAAATGTGCTGCTGTTATCCTCTGTAAAGAGCAATCTGGGCAGGGAATGCGATTCATGCTTTGCCTATGGATTACATAACTATTTCTGAGAAGGTTTAGAGACTGGTTACAGGCAGCTCCCCTTTGGATCATTTCTGGGGGTGGAATCCAGGGCCTCTGGATAGAAAAACTGAACTGGAAAAAGCTATATGAGCAAAAGAACCAAAGGGCCATATCTAGGAAAAGGCGTGGCATGGTGTTGGAGATGGTTCCCATGACTAACAGATAGGAATCTGTGCTAGCCACTAGACTTCACACATTTGGGTTAAATTCCATATACTTTAAATAGGGAGAGGTCATCACTAAAGACTGACAGTCCCACATGCTGAGGATGGGGGATACCAAAACTTGCCAGTAGGAAACACTGAAGGGAAAAGTGTGTCTGAAAACCTATCTTGTTTTTAGGCTGCATTTAGGCATTTCCCTGCAGACCCATAGTGGGTGATTATGTGAGCTGGGGTCCACAGCCTATCTAGACTTAAGCCTACCTAAATTGTCCTTTCATATACAGGCTCAACCTTTT